CCCTCTGCCCCCCCAGTTCCTTGCCTATGACACCCAACTTGTGCTGGGGAACAGGAAGAACACGCTGAGCCCCGAGGAGTACATCTATGGCGCCCTCACCATCTACACTGACATCATCTACATCTTCACCTTCATCCTGCAGATCGTGGGCCGGGATTAGCCCCGGCACCCCTCCTGTCCCCTCCTCTCCTGCCCCTCACCCCCTCCTCTGGCCTCGATATGATACACTTACCATGACTCCTAACGCTTCAGCATCCCTACCCGTAGGCTGCTAAGGAAAGGGCTTCCCTTGATCACCCCCCCACAAGCCTCCAAGGGTGGTAGAGGGGACCAGCTGCCAGTGTTTGGGCAGTGCCCAGCCTCGGCACCGCTCGCCGAGGCTGTGCTGGCGGTGCTGAGCTGGCAGCGGAGCGCCACGGTCCTGCCTGGGCGCGGGGAGCTGGCAGGGGCCGCTGGGATCGTGTTGCGATTTTTTTTGGCAGAGCCTGGTCGGTGTCATTCACTCGGTGCCTTAAACGTGGCTCCGGCCGTGCCCCCCTCCCTGAGCTGTGGCGGTGCCCGGTGCAGGTGGGGGGCAGCTGGCACCCCCGTGATGGGACTTGTGGCAGAGCTCATGTCACAGAGGCCCCGCAGCCACAGACGTGGGCAAAATTGCACTTGCTAAATAAAACACTTTAATTTTCCAGACGGTCCCAGTCTTCCTGGTGTGGCGACTCCCCCGAAAAACCTGTGGGCAGCCTCAGCGGGGGCTGCAGCCTGGGGCAGCGCAAACCTTGCTTTGGAGTGGAAAACCAAGGTCGAGGCACTCCAGGCCTGGCCTCCCTCCCCTGCCTGTACCCCTCCGCCCTTGTGGGCAGAACCCCAGCTGGAGAGCAGCTGGGCCCCCCTGCTGTGGGGGCAGGCAGAGCCTGGGGCTGAGGGAGCGACCGCAGTAGCACCAAGCTGTTCCACTCACCAGGGATGAGGTTTATTTGTCCCTATCCAGCCCCACGACCACCCCACGGGCTGGACAGGGAGGGCAGGTGCCAGTGCCGTGTCCCACGGGGCTGGCGTCCCCTCGGCCAGTCCCTTCAAGGTGCCCCGGTGCCAGGCGGGGGGCAGCCCGGCTATGCCCCCCTGGCCACCCTCTTGTATCGCTCTGTCTCATACTCGCCCTGGTTGGCTTCCATCATCTTTTGGCGGATTTTGAGCTGCTCCAGACGGTTTTTGTCCACTTCCCGCTTGGCCAGGAAGAAGAGGATGATGCCGGAGGGCAATCCGAAGGAAAAAGAATGATGCCGGAGGGCAATCCGATGGCGCTGCAGGACAGCCGGCAGGCAAGAGATGGAGAGAGCCAACCCAGGCCCCTGTACCGCCCTGGGGCGGCACAGACATCAGACATCCTCAGCGCTGCAGCCCCCCGGGACCCCCCGTCCCACCCCAGGCCCCACAGAGCAGCCGAGCCTCCCGGCGCCGGG